GGTAATTAAAAATACATTACTCTCCCTTTTCAACAACTCTCCACGTGTTCTGATATTCTTACTGTAAAATTTGATAGAAAGGCAGTGAAATAAGTATATTCTAAATGTAACCTGGAAAGAACACGCAGAACAATCAACTTTGAATGTATGAACTATCAGCAAAGACTTTGAGCTAAAGGAAGAGGAGGAGCTTTGGAAAATGTTTTGAAACTGTACCTCGTGAGCCATTCTATTTCTTTCCAGTGATGCAGGTAGCAGCATAAATCACACCATAAATACAAATATTCATTATCCTTTTTTCCCCTGTTATGTTTTATTTCACACAGGTTGTTATGATGGGTTAGTGTATGTGCTTCAAAGCAGTGATGGAGAAGTACACTGGACTTTTGTCACAGAAGATACCGTGAAAAGCTCTGCAGTTGTAGACCCTTCCAGTGGACTAGTCTACATAGGATCGCATGACCAACATGTGTATGCTTTGGATATTTATGTAAGAACACTGACTAACTTTTATGTATAGAAGAATAAATATCCAACTTCAACCTATTTGTACCACACCAGACGAAGCTCCACTGGTGTTAGTATTCTCAGGAGTCCACAATTACACTTGTGAAATAATTAAGCCTGCTTGAAGTGGGGTTAGGATTATGTAGTAGTAAATAGTTTCAGTGGTGTTCTCAGCTGTGGTTCTTGTGCTGCTAGTCCTGGTTGAAACCAAATCTTAAGTTTCTTAGTTATTAAATTCTCTGTAGGTGTTTCAGAACAGGGTGCCTAGCTAGAAATAAAACGATAGCTTAATGGTGGAGAAAGAATCTTACATTCTAAAAGAGTAGTTGAAGTGAGATGTAAAATAAGAGGGGCAGATACTGCCTCATCATTAGCTGAATTTCTTTTATTTACTGGAAAAGAAAGTGGCCAAAGGCATGTGTGTTGATATAATAGCATGTAGGTTATATCTTCACTTCTTAACTAGTATTTGCTGAGTAAATGCACTGTTTGATAAGCTTTGATATTCAAAGGTCTTTGTAAACATGATGTACTTCAACTCCAATTGTAAAATTTTGTATTCCTCTTTTCTTACGCTTACAGAAAAAGGCTTGTATATGGAAGTTGCATTGTGAAGGTGGAGCTGTGTTTTCATCTCCTTGTCTAAGTTCTTTCCCACATCATCTTTATGTTGCTACTCTAGGAGGACTATTATTGGCTGTAAACCCAGTATGTACCTTTGCTTACTTGTCTTTGATCCCAATCTCAAATGTAAATGAAACCAAAAGTGCATTTCTGAAGGTGATTGCTCTTCTGATGAAAGGAACTAGATGATCATACGTTACCATAAGATATTTTTCACTTGAGGGCCTTATTATACGCAAGGTTACCATAATAATTCCTGTATTTCAGAGAGCTATCTGGTGATAGAGAACTGAAGTGACTTGCTTGAATTTACATGCTGACTATAGGCCAAAGTTGGAATCAGTGTCTTCCCATTCCCACATACTACCTTAGCAGTTAAACTAGTAAGCGAGAACATGTCTGTAGGTTTTTTTTTCCTCCCTCCCTTCGACAGTAGGATTCGAAAAAAAAAATACAAATGCACAGAACTTACTGGAATCAGAACAGAATCGAGAAAGAAGCCCCTTCATTCCTCTTACTGTCTTCCTCCCTGTACTCATTGAAAGAGCTGTCCCCCTTAATCTTGGACTGCTGGTCTGTTTTCTGCACAGAGGAAATGGCATGCTTGATAGATGTGGAGCAATTTAATGGTTTTCTGAAGCATTGTTGGCTTACAGCTGGTCTTGCCTGATAAAAGGAACAGTCACTTAGAGCAGCTGTTCGTGTTTTTCTACTCACACAACCCAGAGCATCAATCCTATCAATCTTTACCTCCTGCCCACCACAAGTTTCCTCAGTAATACCCAGCCTAGTGTTAGAAGACCAGTGTATGGTTTTGTAGCGCTAGTGGGCTGTGGTTAGGCAAAAACAGATTGTTTTTTTTTCCTGAGTAAGAGGTAGTTGAGAAACCCAGCTGTAACTCCAAGCAATTATTTATAAAAATAGGAATATGCAGGCTATGTTAGGATCTTATTGTGACAATCATAGGTTGTGGGTTGCAGCATTTCCTACAGTATTTGTAGTATATGACATAATCAATATGACTGCTTTCAAGATATCCTCTCCTCTCCTCCACTGGTCTTCATCACGTACTGGGAATGGAATAAAAAATGAATCTGTCATTTATGAAAACTACTACCGCACTATTATTATTTTTCCTTGGGGGAGGAAGAGAAGGGTGGTATTGAGTATCCCAGGGAAAACGCTAAACATTTTGTTGGAATAAGACTTGAAGAGTAGTTTTGCTTCTGGTGTGCATTCTGGAGCGGAGGAGCCTGCTTTGGTTTGCTTTTTGGGTTTTGTTGGGGTTTGTTTTCTGGGGTTTGTGGTGTTTTTTTTTTTCCCCCTGCCAATTCTCAGGGGCTGGGTCAAGCTGTGAAGGAAGGGTTGTTTTGTGCAGCTTTTGACAGTTGTGTTAAGCATCAGATATTCCACACTGCCGTTTACAGGTAACAGGGAATAAGATTTGGAAAAGCTTCCTGGGAAAGCCGCTCTTCTCCTCTCCTCACTGCAATGAGAAGTACATTTGTGTTGGGTGTGTGGATGGAAACTTATATTGTTACTCTCACTCTGGAGAAAAGGTAAAAGTGTTGTTGGTGGGGTTTTTTTATGTTCATCACAAACCCCTGAATGAGATGCTTTATTAACACTGTTTTCTGAGGTTTAATGATTAACATATACTTTTTCGTGAACCAAATAGAAGTATCTATTCATTGTCATAGAGAGGAGAAAGTAAAAAAACCTGTTTGCCTAGGGTGGTCCATGCAGTTCATGGCAAAACCACAAATAAACTGAAAACTCTCAAGTTGCTTAATGAAGTAATAGAATTTCTAGTTCAGAGCTTACAGCTGAAGTAAATAATCGAGAGTAGTACCAGCAAGTGAAATGATACAGTTTTGTTTCTGGAGTTTTTCAAGCATGTTTAAAGCCATCTCTTCCGTAAGATGGTGGCTGTTTAGAATGAAAGGTTTCTTAGAATGTTTATGCATTTATCAAAAAATATTGATATCACAGCAGAGATAAGCCAAATCATAATTCTGAGGTAATAGGTGTCAGCCTTCACATTGAATTAAAATAAGAATAATTTTAATTCCTCAGAGATTAATGTGGTTTGTATCTGGTGTTAAAACAACTGACACTGGTTTTGTTTGTTTGCCTGAGAGGCAGTATACACGGCAATTCCTAAGCCTTTTCTTGTTATAAAATATGTGTTAGCGCATGCCCCGCTCTCTGTCTGCTTGCAGCAGTGTCGCAGAACTGATAGTCTCGTGAGGAGGGATCTGCACATCATTAGCATGAGCAGAGGAAATCTATATTACAAAAGGAATTATTTGCCTTTTTGGCAAAGAATGGCATGTTAACAGAATTCTCGAAGTTCATTACTAATTGTGGTACAACAGCCCAAGAGTATTCTTTTCCCAAGTTGGCCATCTTTATGTGGGCCTCACGGAAGGTAGTAACTCTTCCACATCTATTTTATGTGTCTTTTATCACTTACTCTGTGTGTAAAACTCAACTTGTAATTTGACAAGTATGTACCAGCCCTCACTGAAACCTAGTGTGCTCTTGAAATAAAATGCTCTCCTGTCATCAGCTAGTCTGTTCAAAAATTACAGTTGCTGTCAGACTGCTAATGTGAACAACTTTCAATAATGGGTGGTTGTGTTCTTTTTGTAGGTTTGGCAGTTTTCCACTAACGGACCGGTGTTTTCATCTCCATGCATCTCAAGTTTAACGAAGCAAGAAATATTTTTTGGCTCCCATGATTGCTTTATCTACTGTTGTAATATGGAGGGTAATTTACTGTGGAAATTTGAAGCCACTTCAAGTGTATATGGAACACCATTCGTTTTCCAGTGTGAGGACTTAAAGAACAAAATTCTTTTGGCAGCAGTATCTACAGATGGCAGAGTGTGGATCCTGAATGCCAAGAGTGGAACAGCAGAAGGAGTAGATAAGCTTCCAGGAGAGGTTTTCTCTTCCCCTGTTGTATGGGGAACAAAGCTTGTTGTGGGCTGTAGAAATGATTATGTTTATTGCCTAGATTTGTATATAACAGGAAAAAAAGAACAGTTAAGATGTTAGGCTGCTTCCTTTTTATCATTTACATTTGTAAATTAAGAACTCAGAGGTGCTCTCTAACTCTCTGCCTATTTTACTGTATGTAAGAGGTGCTCTTTCCAGACTTCTCGGGTAGCATTTTGCACCAGGCAGTGCCCAGAGAAGGTAAAGTGATATTTGTTGACTTGCTGTACTGATTGAAGGAGGATGGCCGCTCAGCACCCAGCCAGAAGTTTCACTGTCCCTCCCTCATTTCCCAACTCCGGTTCGTGAAAGAACATGTGTCAGACGGTTTGGATTTGCATGCTGTGCTGCGACCCGTGTAGTGAGAAAATGGAAGTCAGCAGTTTGGCTTTAAACACTTTCAGGACTGGGAGAAACTGTGGTGAAGTGCCATACTCTGCAGCTTGGCATAACACGCTTGTCTCCCCGAGGGAGGAATGTGTTCCTCTCTCTGAGTCCAGCCTAGGCTGTGCCCTGAGGTTCCGTCCTGGCCTGCGCCTTGCTCTTCCCTGCATCAGACTGGTGTTTGTCCAGTCTGACGAGGTTTCTGTGCCCTGGCAAGGTAACCCAAGTTCTTTTTTGAACCTAACTTTTAATTTCATTTCTGAAGACATAGCCTGCATTGCACATACCTGGTAGTAGTGACCTGTTTACTGTAGTTTGTATAAACTGAATAGTTCATCTTTTTTACGAGCCTGGGTCCCCCTTTGGCTTCAGTTCAGCCAAGCACATGCTTCAACTCCATTGAAGTCAGTGGGAGTTACTTCTTGTATTCTCAAGTGGAGAATGTACTTACATGTGTATATGTGTTAAATGTCAGTGACAGGTACGTTATGAGTTCCAAGATGAAGTATGCACTGCTCAAATCAACTATTGTCAAATCATTTTTTAAGAGGTTTGAATGAATGCTCCATACAGTGTCTTTACAGGGAACTGTTAATAAAGGGTTGTGTAAATTGGTTTTGGTTGTCTTTAACACCTTAAAAGGAATTGCCAGTGGTCTTAGTAATGCGAATCAAGCATTTACAGTGACAGAAGTACACTTATCTGCAAGCATCTTCCTGATCATAAGTCTTCTAAAAGAACTATAGTGGAAACTATTACCTCAATCTCTCTGATGAGCCATCTACTTTGAATTCAAACCTTGAATAAAAAGCAGAGTAGAAGTTGCACTGGCTATGTTGCTTCATCACATCTGGTTCCTCTGTTTTATCTTTAGCAGAAATGCATAGGCAAGACACTTGTAGCGCTGTAAAAAGTTCTATTTATAAAGCAAACCTGGACTACACGGTTAGTCAAAGGAGACACACAATACATACATTATCGATTAGATAGTTTTGACTGGGTTATAGTTTAATAAGAATTAGAATGACATTAGTATAATAAACAATTGCACTTTAAAACATTTGAAAAATTAAAAAAGTACACAACAAATACCCCACAATTATACATCTTATAGTTTTTATACATTACTATATGAACATAGAGGTTAATCGTATATAACCTTGTCAGAAGAAATGGTATTTTGTGTGTATAAGTTACAAAAAATTGAGACAATATACTACATAGTGGTTTGTTCGGTTCTTAAAACGTTTTTGCTGTTTTAAACTCGGTAGTAACGTTTTGGTTTTATTTTTACAGATTTCCAACACTTTATCAGAAATGGATGTAACAAAGCTAAAGCAAAGTAACACTTCATTTCATTGGTCTTTAGTGCAAATTTTTGTTAATTTAACATGAAATGTCACTGTTGAACATGTACACTTTAGAAATGTTTCCACCAAGTACTGTACATAATACAGTTTCCATTATTACACTAGATACCTTTATGGTTGAAAAAAATCTCTGCTTTGAAGCTTTAGATTAAGACCATCCTTAATGAAAGCTCTAGTCTATGTGCTATAAATGTATTGTATTGGAAAATTGCATCCTTGTGTCATGCACAATAGCACCTAATTTTGCTATGCTTTTCAGAATACCGGTATCTTTAATTCTTTAATCCTGATTTACTTCACCTTCTCTGTTTTTCTGCCTGGCTCCTTCTCCCAAGAAAAACTCACAAAGATGGATTCCAGGCAGTTTAGTTCTTGTAATTACAAATACACACTGCAAGCTTATAAACTCAGAAAAAAGTATAAATTCAACTTAAGAAGCACCAATTCATGGTGCTACAGAGCAAAAATAATTATGGGCCCAATTCTTTCTTCAGATAAGCTTGCAGAGATTTGACTTTGAAGGTGTTAAGTGTTTTTTTTTTCCCAAGCGTTTGAGAACAGCATTGGCCCATCTCTGTATAAAATATTTTAAATGCTTATATTAAGTGTAAAAAGTTACTTTAGCGATTCTGTTTTTAAATATGAAACTGAGCAAAACTGATGGCTTGAGACCCAAAAAACCCCATCTTGCTGCTGCACATCTACTCGCTCTAACATGTTCGTTGTGTTTGTGCTATTGTAACCATGGTACTGTAGCGTTGTTTTCTGTTTGGTGGGAAATTGCGTGTTCAATAGTGACTTTTGCTGACGAGCCGTTTTTGATTCTTGGGACAGGAGGATACAGCAGGTTTCGTTCTGTTTTCTGCATAATTTCAAGTGCTACTCCTCATGCTGCGTGCAGCAGTTTGGCTAAAATACTTCCATGAAACACATGTGGTATCATTCTATAATGATGCAATTTCTTCTCATGAAAATGTCTCCCTTTACGATATTGTAGGCTTAAAGGTTCCTTTGAGCCTTCTGGTTATAAGAAGGAGATGTTCAAGTTTGTTGAAGACTTCCTTGTAAAACAAGCTTGGGTGTGTTACAGATTTATTTACTAGGGTGACTTTTTCAAATGTAGAGCTAGCTATTTCTGTGGGATGTTGAGGATAGTAAAGCTTTTATTACATTATGGACTTTATCCTTTTTTTTTTTTTTTGTAAGAGGAAGGGGGTGAACGTTTCTATTTTACGTACAAGGAGTAATAAAGTGTTCAATTGCCACAGCAGATACCTGAGATGGGGTAAGTAAACTTTTTTTTGAAGCGTTCTGGCTGTATTGGTCAAAGTACAGGAAGTCATCTGAACTCCCTGAAGTTGCACATGGAGTAAAATCAGGAAGAATGCAGAGTTAAAACTCCTGAGCCCCTCACTGACTTAGCTTTCAGTTCTCCGTTAACTTCAGTTCTGCAAGTCTTACTCCTGTGGGAACTTACTGACACAAATTCTGCAGCTACATGAGCACAGGAATAGTTGCACTTATCTTCGTTCCAGTCCATGGATTTAAAGCTGTAATTTGCCATCACTGTCTCTACGCATCTTAAATATGGCCAAGCACAAACAGTGATGCACTTAAATGACTAGAAGAAACACTGACTCCCTGGCTTCTTTCTGAAAACTTTCTGACTTTTGTTTAAATAATGTGTTTTTTTGTGAAGTAGGATGGATTGTTTTCTTCCTAGGAATGAGGGAATATAGCCGTAGTGTATTAATCCTATGATGAAAGAAATTACCTCAGCAGTTGGATGGTACCATCTCTCTACTTATCATTTGCAGGTGGAAAGATACCTCCCAAAGTTCTTCATTATGGAAGAAGCTTTCAAATAGCAGGTAGAACTGACAGTTCATACAATTTAACACTTTAAAAAAAAATTTAAGAATAAGAGAAGGGAACATGCATCTTGCCTTAATTTTCAACAACAGAGTGTTGAAAAAAGAATTTCTGAGATCTCCACTGAAGTGTAAAGATCTAAAATTCCATAACCAAATACCCACAGAATTTAAGGAACTTCTGAACTGAGGTTCTGGCCTTTTTTATGATACTCACTAAAATTTACATCCAGTGTCTGCGCATACTTACATTTTTGAGAGTGTCTGGCTCTGAAATTTTTGCTGTGACCTCATTTAGCTATTTGTCAAAGCAATGGAATATATGACTTGAGTAGACTTTACAGTGAACTAGAGCAACATGGTAATCAGTTCAGTTTTCAGTCCTTCAATACATGCATTTTCAGTTTTGTCATGTGTAAAAAGCTGAATAAATAAAAAGAAAGCAATTAATAGTCAGCAATAGAGGTGCAATTTTACAGTTTACTTTATGATCTGTGGACAGTCACTCCAGGCTTTTGCTTTCCTCTTGGCTAACGCAAGCCAGGCTGGTTCCGTAGACACAGGGTTAGCGTCAGGCGTAGAGAATCTCTTGGCCACCTCCTTTGCCAGTGGGGTTGATGGAACAGAATCTGAAATTTCCACTGGTTTTGATGGGGTGGGGAGGGGAAAAGAAAAAAAACAAACCCATTAGTTGAACGCTATACTTTGTTGCAGGATTCTAGAGATTTTGCTTCTTTTCTGTGAAGATGTTCTGATCTAACACTTCATATTTATTTCCAATCCTTTTAGTTAAATCTTACTTTTTATTATATTTGCAAAATAATCAAGTTAGGAGCAGCTGAGTTTCTTTTTTCAGAGGTGACTCTGAGTAATGTTACTCACAAGAATAGGGACAAAATTTTCAATCTGTGCAAGATTCAGAGAAAACATGTCCAATTTGCCAGTTGTCTTCTTTACATAAACTGTTTTAATTACATCTGCTATATAGCAAACAATGGGAAATAAAGCTGAATTCTTTTTTCTCTTTGGTAATGCAGCTGCTGAACATGTGTACCCCAACTATATTCAGTAGCTTTTAGATTACATCTTCAGATTAGAGTTCTTAAATAAGCACAGAGAAGAAAGCGGTCCTATGATTTTCTGCCTCAGTTAACCACTCCCGTGAGACTATCCTGAAGAAGAAATGAACCAGCTTTGTCCAATAGCTGTTTGTCACATTTTCATTAAAATAGTATATTTAAGACCAACAGCTGTCTCAGCAGGAAAATGCATTGAATAAGCATTTGATTCCTAACAAGCGACTTTACAGAGCAGAACAGTAGAAGTATATTGTAGAAGTCAGGTGAGAAGATTGTTTAATTCTGAGACAGTGAATCCCCTTGAAGGCAGCCTGGATAGAAATGAGCCCTATCTGAAACCTATGGAGTAACTCTAA